CATCCTTACTTTCCAACCATCTTCCATATAAAAAAATCTGGTCTCAGTTTGAATAACAAAGAAATCCTATGTGGGGAACATGTAAAATTGTAAACTTTTCTTGGCTATTGTTTTTAACTCTTGTGACTGGTCAAAATAATTTAACACAAAAAACCACCCTCTCAAAGTGGAGTGTAAATGCATTTTATTGCGTAAACGGCCTTCATGTAGGTTTACGCATTCTCTGTGTAAAAATGAGAACATTCCTATGTGAGGAAAGCACCGTTGCCACGTAACAAAAGAAATTGCCATCCACCTTACCCGGATCATTACTTAATAAAGCAGTTAAGATCTCCTTGGTGTCTGCCTCGTAACTCAGTCTCTTCTGCCTTTTTTTTCGTATTTCAGTTTCTTTCGTAAGTCCCTAGGCTTTGGAAACAGACAGTGCAGTGTCCTGGGTGCTACTACCCTAACGACGCAAATTTTCGGTTCTGCCAAAATTACGGTTTTCAACGGACGCCGGATATTTTTTCAAGGACCCGCTGAAAGGGTACTCCTGTTCCTCCATTCTATTGACGCACGTCTAGCAGCCCTGTAGGTTCTTGGGGACAGCAAGAAGTACCAAAAACAGAAGAGTAATCTTTAACGAGCTTAAGCAATTTTGATACTCTTTACCTACCCCCAAATCAGTATACGATACTTCCCCTTACGATATCACCCGCTTTCTCGCTGGAAAGATCGTAAAGGTAAAACGAAGAAATTTCACGTCCCAGCATGCAGTTTGTTCGGTACTAAACAGGCTAGTCTTTGCGCATGCCCTACCAATCTGGCAGCTGGGACAGTCAATAATCTTATCGGCAAGTTGCGTTCCTTATTTACCGACCTTGGTCGAGGACGAAAAGTTACTGAACTCTTAGATGTCGGTAACCCAGCCTCGCATGCTAGTTTTAGGCAGCACCTAGCGTCCATTCGCGAGGAACGAGCGCAAGCTAGGGTCACCCCTAGGCAAGCCGAATCGTTGTTCTATAAGAAAAAAGATAGAAAACTCAAAAGATTGTCCATCCTCGCCAAAATATCCAAAAACGTCACGTCGAACTACATGGGGAAACGAAACTGCAACATCCTAAGTGTTGGCTGCTGGAGGTCAGCGGCTTAATTTGGGTCATGACTTGGATGGTTGACCACTTCATTTTTGGTCTTCGGAACGACCTGACGGCAAATCCGTTCCACGCTGCATGTACACGAGGCAACGGCAAAAAAAAGACTTCAAAGCCTTTCCTTGATACTTTCAGAAGACCACAAATGATCGATCTTTGACTTTTTGGCTTCGAAGCAAGCGAAATAACGCTTGTAGCCGTTGTGGCCATCGTTAAATTAATAGCACCAAAATTCAAGATACCGGCAAACCTAGTAATTTACACCACTTGCTCCTTTTAAATCATTTCATCGTTTCAATCATTTTCGATAGAACCAAGGGATTATTTTTGTCTCTTTTCTTAATTTCCCGCACGAAAACCACAGTGACAGTTCACGATATAATAGCCTAATTTTCACATGATCAACCACATTAGGTCTCGGTGGCGTAATTGGCTAATCCGTCACCCTAGCGTCTGATCTGACGGGTCACGGGTGATTCGGTTCAAGCAAGGTTGCGTTGCGAATCCTTTACTTGGCGCTCCGCCCAAGTAATAATAAAATAAAGGAAAAACACAAAAACTGGAACTACACTGTGTTCCAAAATTTCCCCTTAGTTAAGAATTGTTACTGTTTTAGAACTGTTGTTTTGATAAGTTTAACATTAGTCGAATTTATAACATCTTAAAGCAACACGTACACAGGGATACTTTTCATTTTGGAGGAAGGTTGTTTTTTACATAGAAACGGAGCGATTTATTCCGATAATTGGAGGTAAATCTCGCAAGAGTAATTGGAATTGATGGGGAAGGCTATGGACGAGAGTTTGTTCGCTCCAGCTCAGATGTCGAGAGCCAAAGGAGATGTCAGCATTCGACTGATGCCTTTGGGGGGAGGAACACGCTTGGAATTGACTGAGCCATTATGATGACGATGCAACCATCTCTCACAATATTGAAAAGAGAAACATTTCTAGCCTGCGAGCAAGATCTCCATTAAAGGGATATCGAGAAAAGTCATGCGCAAGTGGCAGGGGAGGGCAAGGTGCGAGGAAAAAAAGGGAGAGCTCTTCCTTTCCCACACGGCTTTGTCGCTCACTCGCGAGTTTGCTTGCCACTCAGTAATGGAGAGGCTGCTCCTAGGCCATAAATTTTTTAGCATTCGTCGCGTTCGCTATTCGCTGAGCCAGTTTGTGCTAGAAATTCCAAGAAAAAATTCGAGTTACAGTTAAACCTCTCTACAACGGCCACCTTGGGGACAGAAAAAAGTGGCCTTGTGGACAGGTGGCCGTTGTGGGGAAGTAGGGGTAATGACAAATTATTTTTAGGGTATACAACATTTTTATTGCGCTAAGTTTACTTTATCCCATAATGTTAATCCAATTAAAAATAATATATAGAGAGGTAAATTACACCAAAAAGCTTGAATACTTTTTTAAATCAACTTGTTAACATGACAAAACCAACAAGAATCTAGACAATTCATGCTTACTGTGGCAGCAGTATAATGGAACACAATCAAAATGCGATTGCCGCGATTAATCGTCAATGCCCCTTATGGATCAAATTCGATGACTATTCTTGACTTTTTCATCAGTAGCTAAAAAGTGGCCGTTATCAAGAGGCTATTTTGGCAGTTGGGCACACGCTTTAGTGGAGAGTTGGCCTTTAGTGGAGGTTCGACTGTATTTACATACCAAGAAACGTACACTATGCACTCCACGTCTCCTTTTCAACCCATCGCAACTAACCCAATTAACAACACTACGGCCCTCACACGTGCCTGACACAACAAAAAATCCTCCTAACAACGACGCCCAAGTGCACGCTTCGATAGCGTCTTGTTCATTATATGTTCCTTAGAGTTTCTGGTCGGACTTCATTACTTGACGTAATAAACTGAACATAATCTTAAGGCACCTTTCAAACAGCGACATACGTTTGGATTTTGGAAAAGGAAAGAATATTACTTGTTTATTTATCACATGTTCGTCATAGCTAAGCGACATATTATATAAATGTCGTAATAAATGCACGTATCCTTCCTTTACAATTTTTCTAAAATAAAGTCAGTTATGTTCACCAGTCAGAAAAGAAACCAAAATAACAAAGTAGCCGACTAGGAATGTAAATGGGAAAAATCTCAGTGATTCTGCCGTGGTGGTGGGAATTGTAATGGTAGTAATACGTGCATTAGTATTATATGTAGGTAGTGTCTTTTGTGTACTTGTAGTAGTTCTTTATTGATATAGATACGGTAATGTACATGTTGTGTAAATAGTTCGTAAACAATCATTCAATAATAACAAAAAAAAACGTATAGAGTGGAATTCTAAAAGAGCGCTTTTATAAAGGGATATAAGGCGTTAATTTCAGGGATAGCAGATTTTGCTCATTTAAACGATTACATCTTGCTAGCAATCTTTAAAATGTAAAATCTGCTCTATGCATGACACACTAGAGGGGTTCAATGATCATTTATTAATAAAATCACAGAGAGCTGTCTTCTATTTTTTCCGCAAACTTGGACACAAAATCACGATTTCCCAATTTGGTGCAACTGTGGCTTAAAGCATTGCCGTAAGGCGCGATCTACCAAATAAAAAACAACCACCCTAAACTTCCATCATTCCACAATCTCTGTGTAAAGTTTTATCCAAATCGCTGCTAAAACAGCCGAGATATAAGCGTTTTAAAAGATGATGCGAAGGCAAAATTTTGCCTCATAAATTTATTAATAGATCGCGGCCTTAAACAATTTAATCATCAAAAGCATATTAATTATTCTTTATGCAAAAGGTAAAATATTGTCACCAAATTTTACCGACAAGAGGTTTCCAGTGACGGCATTAGACATACTTAAGATATAATAATAGTTCCACTTAATACGAGCGAATCCAGAAGCACACTCTTTAGAACAGACACATAGTAACAGTTACATAGTTTACAACAGTACAACCTTCCCAAACGTTCTTAACTTACCTCGCTTTCTTCCTCGCTCTCTGTTGTTGATTCTGAGCCAGAATCAGAAGGTCTCCGATAGGGACGCGGCAACGGGACGATCTGCAGGATGTAATAAAAACCAGTTGCGTTTGGCTGGTAGAACGTGACTTGACGTACCATTGAGTATACGCTATAGCTTTTGAAATTTTTATGAAACAAAAACTAGTCGCGAGTGGCATATACACTACGCTGAACACAGCTAAAATAATTGCATAGCTTATCTCATGACATCATAGCTTTGGAAGCGTTAAAAATATGCCAACAACCTTTCGATATAGTCGGATTGTGCCTTTAGAAAACGTTCAAATTGTCTTCAAACTGACTAGGAGTGCTCCCTTCAGGCTCTCTCAAGATAAACTAGTAAGAGCAAGCGAATTACGCGGGCGCACGAGAATCTTGCGACCCGTCTTTTCCTGTTTCACGAACGAATGAATAAATTATAGCCATTGAATGCAGCCCGTGAGATCCCATAGTATCACTCTGCTGAGTATTATTTATCTACAAGTCATTAACAACATCGCACTTGTGTTCTCATTGTTTGATTACACAACAACGCACACTACACTATGTATCTTAATAGTCTGGCCATAGGTGTCCGGACCTGATCTTGTCCTGGGATGACAATAGATAAATAAATAGATAAATGAATAAATAAATCTATATTATGTCACTTCTGGTATTTGCTTGGTACAATCCCAACCAATTAAAAACTAACTGGTGACCCTTCGTATTCACCCATTTGTTATTTATCAGTAATAACTAACATGGCACTTCAGTTTACTATTATCTATTATAAAATACGAGGTGCAAACCCTATCTATATATAATTCTAATAAAATTTCTGGTTCTACAATTGACCGCCTTATATAATATCGCCCTGTTTCACTAGTTTCCAAAGAAAATAAGTCTTACTTTCTCAACATCTGACCTTGCTTCATTCCACCTTGTATCTTCTACCTGACCTGAATCAACTGTTTGAAATGAAGTTTCGGTGATACTTGCTACTCCTAGTATAAAAATGTCAAAAACAAGATACCAGTTGTAACGGCCTGTAAAACTCAGCGGACACCCTCGGGGAATGCTTTATTGACCGTTTAATACACTATGTCCGCCTCAAACAGATATCACTTCCAATTTGTCTCAGGTATAAATAACAATACGGCTCTTTCTAGTCATTCTTTATATTCAAAGTTCCACTTTCTAAAGCGCTGTAGCTGTGGGAAGAAAGGGCGTTTTGCACGCCACATAAGCTGTGCAGCTCAGTCGGATGAAACAGGAACAAGAGCATGAGTGACGAGTACTTTGAGAAGAAGCACCCTCCACAGCAATCCCAATCCTTCAACCTAGGGAGGTGTACTGATTGTTGTTGACCACCATTAGTCTCTGAATGCCCCCTTTCTTTACTAGTAAGGTGGTACATGACATTCCATTGACCTGGGATCAATTTAACAAGACTTTTACAAGTGTAATTTACAACTGTAGCAATTGTTTTAGAGTCTGAGAACAATAGCTACACTTGTAAATTACACATTTAGAAAAAATCTCAGCACCTACAAAATTGTCCTTGTAAGCAGCCAAGGCGGTGACTTAGTTGATCACTGAACCTCGCGAGTAAGAAAAGCTCTTGCAAACAATTTCACACACTTGCTATCCATTTCTTTTTTTTGCATATCAAGCCTAAAAACATGTTCCTCGCAAAAGGCTCTATCGAGAATTCCTGACTAACCTGAGTTCTCCATGAATGCTTTCTTACAAATTAAGTAGTTTTCTTCTTCTATAGTTGTCTTCAACCTGACATTGTCCAATCCTAGCTTTCTCTTGAGTTCATCAGTCACCAGGAACCTCTCAACAACGTCATTAAGGAAACCAGAACAGTAACTATTCCACAAACTTTCAAGACTCTCCAGAGTGGGGCACTGCACAGTTATTATCAAAGATCCTGATTTTACCATCATTACGGCCACTTCATAAGCCTTTTCGATATACTTAGTAAGGCGGTCTACACTACTATCAAATGGCAATGACGAAAGATCTTGGTGTCTTCGATACTTATGAACCGACTGTTCCAATTCCTCAGTTAATATTTTTTCTTGTTCAACAGTTAAATCTTGGGTATTCAAAGAAATTAGAACTTTGATCAAGGCAGTAGTAACAACAGAGTCTGAAAATCAAGAATAGGAAAGTCACACGCTAAACTATTAGAAAATATTCATTATGCACAATAACTTAGTATTTTTTATATACCTACTTACACAAATTAATGTTATATGTTATGTAATGTTAATATATAGATTTAGCCAGGGCTAAAAGCGAAGCTCCCACTAATAAATATGTAATTTAAATCAAACAATAAACTTGTATTCCACAAATCAGTTAACTTTAGAGCACATTCATGTGACTTTTGATTTTACAGAAAAATAATTTGCAAACAGTCCAAGAGACTGCCATGAATTACTTGCCGTCCAAGAGTGAACCAAATATTACATCGAATTGATAGCCTTATATGTACACCCAAAAAACAGCAATCATCTTCGACAAGAGCCATAATATGGCTCTTGTCTTCGATCAAATTTAAGAGCCATAATGGCTCTTGGTCACAGTAGATTAGGCCTGGAAAACAAATTATTGGAAAACAAATCAGGCCGAGTTTTTTGCGTTCGACAAGTTTGCTTTACAAAATCTTGCTAACAAATCTGGGCGCGTGTAAACCAACCTTTTATACTTTTTATACATCACATCTGAGGTGAAACAGTACTATGAGGCGCTGTTTTTATCATGCAGACCTCGGACAGAATGCAGTATTTCACAATTTTGGAATACAAATTGCACTCGTTCAATATTAAGGACGATCGAAGCACGCGGTGGCTTTTAGCGAAACCGCTAAAAACCTATACGGCTAGCCGGTTGCGAGCTGTGGAGTGTATGAATGAACATAAATAGAGTTACGCTTCAACATAATAAAGAACTTATCATGTTTATTTTTTATTTAGTGGTTTTATAACGATGTGTAATCTTCAAACGCGTTTGATAAGCGCGGCATTTTGAGTATTCCTGCAAGCGATGCTCATGAACGACTGAAAACAAACGGCACAGCGATTAAAATTGCAAGAGAGACTAGTAACAATCAATAAAAGAAATATAATTCGGTGAAACATATACAGAGACAACAATTTTCATTCACGAAGACAAGTATTAAAGTGTCTCTAAAAATCCTGGGTCTTCAAGATTAAAGCTTAAGTTTATGTTTTAGGCCGGCTTCCCGGTGTTTGCTTTTTTGAAAGATGAACTCGAGGCAAGAAAATCGTTCAAAGCTTTTTTTACAGCCAGAATTATAACTTAAATATTCTTTGGAACGTTTTCTTTCTATTTGCAGTGAGAAAATGTCTAAAGGCTTTTTTAAGTTCTGTAAGCTTATATCAAACCTGATACTCGGTTAGATCATTGTCTCAAATCTTACAAACGTGCATAAACTAAATAGCCGCATAAGCTACGCTCGACATCATTGAATTAGATACAATAATATCGAAATACAATAATTGCTCAGGCTTACCATTCAAGATGCAGTTCCTGGAAGCTATCAAGTAAGGCCAGAAATCGCTTCAGACTTTTCAACCCTCTTACGCATCAAGCAAGTGAAAAACGAAAACGATGCCATCCGAAATCGGATTTCCGACTTTGACAAGCGACGTATTTCTTATCCAAAAACCCAATAAGCAAACTTAGCCTGCGTAGCAGGCGTCGAAAGGGGTAGGGGATAGGGGGAAAGAGAAAAAGGGAGGGGGATTGAGGAGAGAGGGGAAGGGACGCCTGCTGTAAGAACCCCCTTTTGTTCATTTCTGCGGACGCTGGCGTCCACAAATTCCTGATTGGCTGAACCGTAATGAGTAACTTATTGGCATGTATCCTGGCGTGTATTAGTGTGTGCGACAGACATGACGAAGGCATCAAGAAAATACGTTGTACTGGCATAAGCTTTGGAAGATCAGAATTACTCCAATCAGGCAGCAACGTCACGTTAAAACCCGAACTAAAACCAACTGTAACAGCTTGTTTAGCAGGAAGAGATGCTCAGGAGGTTTTGCATACTGGATTTGTCCTTACACTGAGCAGCGATTCAAAGCGATTGCGATTCTTGCCAGACATCTTCAATGCCGATGTTCAAAAGACCTCCTTTTCCGCAAAAACATATACCGTCTTAAATGGAGTCTTAGATGGTTTGCAAAGAGAGAGCTGAAACTTTGGTAAGAACTATCCGTTGAGCGTCTTGACAATTGTTTATAATTCTTCGTTGTTTTCATTATTCGCGTCTCAGGCTGACCAATGTTCTGTTCTTTGTGACCATCACGGTGCTTGATGAGGTTGTAAGATAAAAGGTCTTGTGTATTAACACGAAACTGATCACTGTTTGCCGTAGACTGCGAGCAGTAAAAAAATGAGAGACTGGTCGTAGTCTGTTTGTCGTGTTTGCTGCGGGAGCAAGAACAGTAAAAATGTTTTATTTCGCTCGATTATGACATCACTTGAAAAATGCGTCTCAACTTGACAATTTCCGGTAAACAAAGTAATTAAGTTCGGACCACGCTGAGAAGCCCGTACTTGTGATTGGTCACGTATTGACAGTGACGTTATCGGATTAGTTCAGAAAATGGTCGGCGGATTACAAAAACACCGGCTCCTATAGCAGGCGCTCCCTTCCCTTTCCCCTCTTTCGTGCTTTTCTCCCTCCCGCTCCCCTTTTTGCGCCTGCCACGCAGGCTAAAACAAACTAGCCATGAATAACAGAAGACTCTTGATAGCAGCTAAATTTCATTTTGTACATCCAGTAGAAAAAGAAGTCAGAGGTCAATTTCAAATCAAAATTTTAATTTTGCGGCACATAAACACATGTCATATGAATTTAAAAAATAAACTCGAGTCTGCGATCATTTGAAAACTAGTAACTTGTCAGCGGATAACTTCAAAAAATACTCGACCTCGATAGGTCGACACCTGAGCCCGCGATACGGTCAGGTGATACTGATCAGCGGATACCCTGTTTTGACAGCTGTCAATTGATCACAAAATTGATGTGCAATATGTATGCAATATCAGTTTTCCTGTGCTCCCAAACTAGCTAGAAAGTGTGAGATTGAACATTGGTTTCCCCGTGGTGCGGACGGACGGTCGGGCGGTGTACGGTCACGTGATTACCAAATTTTGTGGGATGGGTAGATTTACTTAGCTATGGAGCTCCGCTCGCGCGCGTGGAGATCCGCTATAAAAAATAATGTTACTGGTAAGTGAAATAAATATACATGTATATAGAATAGGTATGTGAACTCTTTCAGCCCATGGATTTTGGTTCACACACCGCCGTAGCCTGAAATTCATCCGATTGCTTCGAGTCGTTTTCTCCTCTCAACAACGTCTGAATCGACGAGCCGTTAATGCCGTCCAGTGACGTCACTCACTACCGAAAACCGGGTAGTGATTTGGATTGGTTGATTGTCTAAACATTCGCATAATTATGTATAATTATGAAAAATTTTAGCGGGATTGTCGCTTGATATTCAGCGGATCGCATCCCTGGCATCCTTTCGTTTAGTTGAAACATTTCGATTAGCGCATCTTTATCTTAAACAGCAAAATTGCCTTTGTCTTCGAAACTGAAATGCTAAATTGAACTGCGAACGAAGAATCATTGCGGAGAGTCGGTAGGTTTTTCATTTAGAGCCGCTTTGTGGTTTCGGCGGCCGGTGATTTTGTTTACGCGAAGTTTTCTGAAATCAATGTTATAATTCGACCTTCTTGATATTTTTACCGCCAAAAGTAATGATTCTGTTAGCTTTTCTTTCTTGTCTCCTTGTTTTTTTCTTCGTTAAGGACCAAATAGCATCTTTTCAATTAAAGCAAATCATTGTGTTTTTGAAGTACGTGTTCCGTGTGTGTGTTTATTTCAATGCGTGATTGCTACCGAGTTTGATTGTAGAATTTAGTACAACCGGTTCAGAGTTGTGCTGCATGCATTTGATAGCTTGAACGTTAAACATGAATTACGATCGAAAAAAATAAAGCAGTTCTGTATAATGCAGACATTTCCAAACGATATTTCTCCGTTTGCCACTTGAAAATCGTGTTTTACTTTTTGCATGAATTAAAGCAAAGGTTCATGAGTAGTGACGTCACTGGACGGCATTAACGGCCGGTCGACTCAGACGTTGCTGAGGGAGTAATAACGACTCGAAGTAATCGGATGAAATTCAGGCTAACACCACCGCATTTTTCAAATTTCTCTCAAATAGAATTGCCTTGTCGATGACACGGAAACAACGAAACTTAAAACTAAAAGCTGCACAATTTCTCAAGTTCACAAGCTTTCTGAACATGTCAACTTTATTTGTATACAAGGCGACGCCTTTCTTGGGTTAACTGATATGCCAATGAGAAAAATGCGAATAATAACGTCTGGAAAGATTCTCGGATAGTCAGGGACCAAACCAAGGCCTTGATAACCTGGTAGTACCTTGTAGTCTGAGAACAAACAAAATGTCATTGATAAAAGGTAAATCTTCCTTGAGGAGACCAGAAATATCGCCAGAAAATTATTTTCTGTCTTCGTCGTTTGAGTCAGTATAAGCCGGTCCCCAGATTTACAGTTTTTCGCGAGCCCATGGTAACATCTGGTTTTAAAATCTGAGTACACAATTACAATGAGTTAGCACTGAAGAATTGCACTGGTAGCAAGGTAGCAAGTCCTGTAGGAAAAACCACGTTTGATATTTCTGCTCATATCATGTTACTCCACTCAATAAAACGGTATGTAATTATTTTGTCAACTAGCTTCTTCCAATTTTATTGAGCTATTTTGAAAAAATAGCTCATATGTCAGTGGTGTGAGCGTATGTATCTTTGTGGCTTTGTATCTTTGTATGTTCGGATGTTTGTTGCAAGAGCCAATAAGGTTGAAGGTACTATGAGTTGATACTTAGGAACCAATGAGATCTTTACATCTATTTAAACATGACATTGCTAAAGGTCGAACAAGGGCACTTTAAGACCGCCATCTTGATTCTTCACAATTTTTTCGTCCTTTATTAGGGCTACAGGTGTTTAGAATCATTACATTAAACATCTTCATGATTCAAACGCTGTATACAGTGATGCAGCTGTTTAAGGGTTCATATTTTAGTGTGGATGCTGCTTCAAGACATTTCTGACCAAATTTGGCTATCACGAACGGTACAACGCTCGTATTTATGAGTTCTGTTTCACTTGCTTCAAGGTAGAGTATAAAAGATCATATATTTTCAAAGCTCTTCCAATGAAACAATAATTGATATTTAGATATGGAATTTAATTCGAAAGTACGCGGCCTATAACTTGTGGTTTTAGATGTCTGAAAGGCAGCTTATTTTTTTGGAAGTTGTACCGAGTATTGCTAATCCTGTAAACAAGCTTTATTCTCTTGCTTAGAAAATTCAACAGACCTTTTTCGTTCCGGCAATTAAAACATGAATAAGCGAACAACATGATACATCCTTCCTGCTTATTGAAACGTATTTTGTTTAGTAAAGATGCGTAACTTAAGCCTGGTTTCCATATGATCGCTACGATCGCTGAGATCGCTGAGGAAAAAAAGTTCAGCGATGGCAGCGATCATAAGGAAACCACTTTCCAGCGATCGTAACGATCGCAGCGACAACGATCGCTGATATATAGATAGAGATAGATTTCTTGTAAACAATTTGAGTTCTTTTAGGTACGAATTGTAAAAGGAACAAAGTCCAACATCTTCACGTGCAAACTGTGTGCATAAGTTATTTTTATAATTCTGTTTACTGGATTACTGTGTGATAACTCCAATTCCCTCACGTACGAACCACGAAAGGGGCAAAGTCCGACACTTTCACGTGCAAACTGTGTGATTCTACATTTCATGCTGGCTTTTCACAGTAATAGTAGTAACTTGAACGTATGAAGACATCTTTAGTTTTGTAACTAGTGCCTAAGCAAAGGCTCTTTTCTTTTAAGAAGCAAAAACTGATAACACTCGTAGAATTAAGTGGTCAGAGTTAACAGTCCGGAATATCAAAATATCTGCGGTACGAAGTTTAGCAGATATTTGTTTTCTGCACGTTCTGAATTTGGTATTTTCATTGTGTTTTTCAATGAAGTGTTCAGTAGTTACGTAATACGTGTTAATTGCGTTTCATATATAAGTTGTTGTCAGTCAGTATGTTCTTCCTTCGGGTCTGCAACGCCACACGCTACAACACTGTTCTTTTATTTTTATGTTATGGATTTTATTTTCATGTTTTTCTGTATGTGTTCCCCTTTTTTCAGTGCGGGGATTTTGGTCATTTGAGTTCCACGTGCTTGAAGCCTGCGGATTCTTCGAAGAGTAGCTCTCGACGCGATTGACTAGATGGCGACTCGTCGACCTGTGATGAAGTTGAGTGTGATTTAATTCATTTATTGTCTTGTTGTGGCGACGAGTTTAGTGCGAAAGGCGGAAGCAGTGGCGTGAAAGGTCGCTTGCAATCTTCGTTTAACTTTTGGGTCGAGACTTTAGATGCACCAGATTTTGTCCTTGATATGATTAGGCGCGGTTACAGATTGCCGTTTGCCGAGTACCCCTCGCAGTGCTTTTTGAAGAACAATAGATCAGCTCTTCAGCATCCGGAATTTGTCGCTGATGCTATTAGCGAGCTTTTAAGTAACGGCTGCATTGTTGAGCACGAATTCCCCCCGTATTGTGTTAATCCTTTGACAGTCGCTGTTGGGAAGAAGCTTCGCCTGGTTATCGATCTGAGACACGTAAACAATTATTTAGTAAAACCTATATTCAAGTACGAGGACTTACGATCGCTTTCTCAAGTTCTCGATGAAGGACACTGGTTTTTCTCTTGGGACCTTAAGTCCGGTTACCACCATGTCGATATTTGTCTCGACCACCAAAAGTACCTTGGTTTCGCGTGGCCTTTTTCTGGCGTCGTCAGATATTTTTCCTTTACAGTACTGCCTTTCGGGTTAAGTAGCGCTTGCTTTTGTTTTACCAAGTTAATGCGCCCGTTAGTTAGGCGTTGGCGTTCTATGGGACACAACAGTTTCATTTATTTGGACGATGGTTTCGGGAGTCGACCAGACAAATGTTCTGCCGTGGCAGCTAGCTTAATTCAACGTAAAGAGCTCTCTTCATCTGGTCTTCTTTGTAACGAGGAAAAGTCTCACTGGGATCCAGTTCAAATTGGCGAATGGCTAGGCTTCGTTATTGATACTATTTTAATGTGTTTCCGGATTCCCGAGAAGAAAGTTCTCAAGCTTAAAGGCTTGCTAGATTCTGCGATTCAGGATGGATTCTCTTCATTTCGCGAGTTAGCGAGAATAGCAGGCACTATCATTTCAGCTGCGTTAGCTGTTGGTCCAATTTCTCGTCTTTTGACCAGACAAATGTACTTCGCCATTGAAACCAGATCGGCTTGGGATGACATAATTCATTTTCCTCCGAGCCTTTTACAAGAACTGAAATTTTGGTATTGCAACATCGACTGCTTAAACGGCTATTCTATTAGGCCACCGTTAGCTACGCATACCGTTGTATTTTCCGATGCTAGCGACGTAGCGTTCGGAGGATTTTCGGCTACTTTAGACGGCTCCGTCGTTAGCGGCATGTGGGAGAGCGAGGATATCGGCCAAAGCTCTACGTTTCGCGAGCTGAAAGCAATTTTTTACGTGTTGCTTTCTTACGTGGCTCAACTGAAACACAAGAGAGTTAAAATCTTCACTGATAATCAGGCCGCCGCCAGAATAGTTGCTATCGGAAGCTCCAAATCTCACCTCCAGGCCCTGGCTATGGATATTTTCAATCTTTGTCTTGCCAACAGCATCGTTCTCGAAGCCCAGTGGATCCCTAGGTCTCTTAATGAAAGAGCAGATCTTCTTAGCAGATTTATTGATAAAGACGACTGGTCCATCAATCCCTCGGTATTTCGACTTGTCGACGCTAAATGGGGCCCTCACACAATTGATCGCTTTTCGTCCTATTACAATGCCCAGCTTCCGAGGTTCAACTCTAAATTTGCTTCCCCAGGTTGCAGCGGTGTGGACGCCTTGGCTCAGGATTGGCGACATGAGAATAACTGGGTTTGCCCTCCGGTGGGTGCCATTGTGCCTTCAGTTAGGGCTCTCTCGTCCTGCTCCGGTTACGGCACTTTGATCGTTCCACAATGGCCTTCGGCCTATTTTTGGCCTTTTTTGCACGACAACGCCTCCCAGTTCAAGTCTTTTGTTAAAGAAGTGTTTGAGCTTCCTTGTATTGAAGACCTCTTGCTGGAGGGTCCAGGACAGAAGCAGATTTACAAAGCGCGTCCGTCGGTGTTCAGCGGCTGCCCGAAATTTAAAATGTTAGCTTTGCGGATAGATTTTAGGTGAGCTTTCCCATTTTTGTCTCCCCTTACAGCTCATTATTGTCGGTGTTTTAGGTTTATCTTTTGTTAGCTTCGTTTTGGTATTATTTATTTATTTTATTTTATTTTATTTTTTTTGCCTGATTTGGCACCGTTATCGTGTCTGCTTTGGCAGTGTATTTTTGCCTGATTTGGCAGCTTTGTTTTGCCTGTTTTGGCAGCGTATTTTTGCCTGATTTGGCGGTGTATTTTTTGCCTGATTTGGCAGCGTCTTCTTGGCTCGGAGTTCGATGTCCGCTTCACCACGCAGTTTGCCTGTTTTGGCGCCGTCAGTTGGCCTTATTTTATGTTTTATTTTATTGGTCTACATTTGTTTTATTGAATGTTTGCTATTTTGTTGTATTTTTTACTGTTTTTTACAGCATTACTGGGCCCAGCCAGTTCGGCTTCCGTTTGTCGTTGTTTCTCATTACATGTCGTTTTTACGCTGTAGTACTGTCCGTGCTGCATGATTATGATGCAGCATCATATTTTCTACTGTATTATAATTTTAAATGTTTTGCCTTTTCCTGCCTACTTTTATTTTATTTTTTAGATGTTCTCCAATCCGGGATTTGGAGTGAAGCGAATTCTTTGGCCGATCCATCCTTGCGCAAGCTTGTTCCAGACCTTCTCCATTTACAGTTTGAGTCCAAGGCTCCCTCTACCGTGCAGAAGTATAGATCTGGCTGGATCAGATGGCGTGAATGGGCAGATTCTAAGTTTGGCGTTCCAGTTATTCCAGCGAAGCCACTGCACATTGCTCTCTTTATCAGCGAACTTACTGCTGTTTCTATTTCTAATAATACGGGGATATCTCCTATAGAGTCAGTTGTTTATGGTATTAAGTGGGGTCATAGTCTGGCCGGTATTGTAGAATGCCCTACTGGTCACCCCCTTGTTAAGTCGTCCTTGGAGGGTGCAAGAAGGAAGCTTGCTCGTCCTGTTCAACCCAAAGAGCCTTTATCCGTTGACACAGTTTTAAGGATCGCTGAATATTATATTTCTAGTAGTTCGCTTGGCGTTATTCGTTTTCTTTTCGTCCTCTTGGTTGGCTTTGCTGGGTTTTTTCGTATGGACGAAATTCGCAATTTGACAGTTAAAGATGTCTCTATTTTCAACGAGTACATGTCAGTTTTTATTCCTAAACGCAAAAATGATCAGTATAGAGAAGGGCATACGTCCTTTCTAGCTAGGTCTCATAAGGCTACTTGCCCAGTTTCTTTCGCCGAAAGGTTACTTAAGCTTTTCCCTTCAACTTGTGAGTCATCTTCGCCCCTCGTTAGGCGAATCGTTAAAACTAAGGTTGGTAGACAACCTAGAATTTTGGTAGACCAGTTTTGAATTCCGAGGTCAAAAACACGTACGTTTTCTATTCCCGGGTTTCTCACAGAGCCGTGTTATTACTTTTTTTCGCATTATTACGAGCCTTTGCCTTTTTTCTTTTCAAGGCCAAAACAACTTTATTAGTCTTATGGATATTCACGTCCAAGATCCCGCCTCACTTTGCCGAATTTGTGGGGATGAAATTGAAGATCATAAACGCAAGGTAGATACTAACCGCTTTGTTTCTGAAATTCACCAAATCTGGAAAGATTTAATGTTGCTGGATTCTCCAAATGTTCATCCACCGTTAAAAAACAATCAAAGAAAGAAGGCAAATTTCAAGTGTAAATGATGTATTTAGCTACTCATTGAACATGCACTGAATCTGGGATCAAATTAAAACATTGCAGGTACTAGCAAGCAAGGAAAGCACCAGATGCGTGAAGTCAACACGAAACAACACCAAAAAACAAACAAGAAAAAGTAATAAATTTGAACTACTTTCTATTCTTGTTATGATGACTGGTTCTTTGATTCTTGTCCTGTAGAAGCTAAAAGGTAGTACCAATCCTGTTTTGTATGATCTCAACAAATTTTCACACTCTCTCCAAGGCTATTTTTACACGGGACCAGTTTGTTTCTATCAAAAATCTTGCAAGCCATGCCAGTGAAGCCACGACCACTGCGATCCGTCCTGAATCAGTTCGAACACCCCAATAATTCCTTGCAGTGAATAATGCTCTTATTCTCTTACATGAAATGTTTTCTTTGAAATATTAAATGTACGTGAAACCTAGACGAGTACTGTAAGCTCATCTTTAATTCTGTCCGTCGACTCCGTCCGTTGTTTTGAAAATTTTTGAGCACTGGGGCGATGTTTTGATTTGTTTGTTGATAAACACAAGCGCGCCTTCTCATTGGTTGAAAAGTGTTGCGTGACCAGCTGGCCCTGTCCTTAAATTTAGGGATATTCCGGACTGTGTAAGACTGTTTCATTAAAGTAGAATCGCACGTGATAACCTCGTGAATAGTGATGATGCAACCATCTACAACAATGATGAAAATCTTAGCTATTCGGTATTCGACGACCTTCATTACTCTAAGAAACCACGAAGAAACCTTGAAACATTCGAGTCTTCCCTCTAAGCAACGTTTGGTGAGTTGATATTCATATAGTACTTTAACAATTTGTTTATTTTGCACCAGATTTCTGAAGGAAAGACAAAGAAAAGTGAATTTATGAAATCGAATCAGCTATGCGCTGCGGTTCTCGTTTTCATTAATGTACAGCTATACCCAATTTCCCACAAAGTATAGCCTTAATTTAGGATTAAGACAGTAGATTGCCGATACTGTTACACTGAAGCATTCAAAATAGCTCATGCACGTAAAACGTGCCTATGTTTCCCTAACGCTACTGTTTCTACTTAAGTTATTCATCTTTACTAAATAAAATACGTTTCAAGAACTATAATGCTTAGTATGCACGAAGGATGTATCATGTTGTTCACTTATTTGTTTTGTTTGTTTGTTTCGCCGGAACGAAAAAGGTCTGTTGAACTTTATAAGCGAGAGAATAATATTTTTAAAGCTTGTTTACAGGATTAACAGCTTTAAAAAAATAAGCTGCCTTTCAAACTTGTAAAACCACATTTTATAGGCTGCATACTTTCAAATTAAAGTCCACATCTAAATATCAATTATTGCTTTACTAGAAGAGCTTTGAAAATATATGATCTTACTCTATCTTGAAGCTGGTGAAACACAACTCATAAATACGTGCGTCAGTACCGTTCGCGATAGCCGAATTCGGTCAGAAATGTTGAAATAGCATCCACACTAAAAAATGAACCCTTAAACAGCTGCCTCACTGTACACAGCGTTTGAATCATAAAGATATTTAATATAATGTTTCCAAACACCTGTAGCCGTAATAAAAGACGAAAAATTGTGAAGAAGCAAGATGGCGGTCTCAAAGTGCCCTTGTTCGACCTTTAGCAATGTCATGTTTAAGTAGATGCCAAGATCTCATTAGTTCCTAAGCATCAACTCATAGTACCTTCAACCTTATGGGCTCTTGCAACAAACATCCGAACACACAAAGATACAAAGATACAAAGTTACAAAGATACAAAGGCACAAAGATACATACACTCACACCACTGACATATGAGCTATTTTTTCAAAATAGCTCAAAAAACAAATCATGTTTTTGCTTACCTGGATCACAAGAAGATTCTGACAATTTCCCCTTACGGCTATTTTGCAACTGAGACACTTTAACTGTGGAAGTTTCAGTTTGCTTTCCTGATGCAGCATCAACTTTCTGTTCAGAGTTTCTACCAGGGGACGTTTCTGAAACAAGCTGCTCGTCGTCATAAGAGTTTGTTCTTTGGTTGTTGTCACTTTCCATAACAGGCTCTGCGTAAACAAACTTTGGTTACAATCATAATTTCTTTAAATTCAGACTAGTAGATTCATGTATTCAACAATAACTGCTTTGAAACTTAAAACCCAGTCAATTCCAGGTGTGCGGCCCATTACTCCCCGGGGCAGACATTTGATAGGCACGATCTATCAGGTTGTGTATTCCCGGGATAAAAGCTCAGCGGCTGGCGTTTTAATTCCGTCCTCGTCCCTAATTTTTGCTCGCTCTCGCGCTCCTCACGTGCATCTCCCGCTTGGTTAAAAGTAGACAGAAATGACTGCTACGTATGCTTCATACGAAGATACCTTTAAGGGTCCGCAGTCACGTCCTCTGTCTTTTGAGAAGCCTTGCGGTTTGTTTCTAAGGAAGTCCGGGCCTTTAAAGAATCTTCCATTAAAACAAAATAGGCCGGACGAAAACAAATGGTGATTATGTATGTACGACTATAATCACATATGAATGTGAAGTGTTGCAATTAAGCCTAAGACCAATGGTTATGACGACCGCCCTCCACAGACCATTCCGCTGAAAACAATAAACCTGAAGAAATTACAAACGTTACAGTTTTCCTGATATCAGCATGCAGATAGGTATTCGCAAGCATTTTTTTCAAGATTTCAGGACAAAACTTGTAAGAGATCGTATGTTTGTCTGTGTTTCTATCATTTCCCGATAATGTACCATTGAAGAAAAGATAATCGACATTCCTACCATGAGCCAGGCTGATCATCTTGTCAACTAACTTCTTTATATGTTTGGCCTAGTTGTATTTCCTGCCATACTTATCAAGCAAGGTCACCGCGTCCTCAAGTCGACATATCCTGTCCTTGGACCAGATTTTCCTGATGGCTAAGGTCCACACTGCGGCGTCCTCTGACTCAATCACAAATGATGAACCAAAAGCTACACTACTCAGTGCTTCTCCAAAACCAGAGGAGGGTTGCGACTGACGAGCACAGGGAGACTAGCTGACATTGCCTCGAATCCTGTTAAACCAAAGCCCTCTGTTCTTGAAGGTATGACTGCAAGATCCACTTGTTGGAATAAGGGCTTTAAACCCTCTCGGTCTTGAACAAATCTTTTACTTTTAATCGACTTGCAGGAACACAACACATTTTTTCGTGTTTTCCATCCGGTGCCTCAGCAAACGTAAGACGAGTATCTTCTAATGCCGCAATTGCTTTCCCAGCGGTGTCAAATCCCTTTAATTCAAAATCGTCTGCGTCTCCAAAACACCAAGACTCTGCGTTGTTGCCTAAAGCTATGACTGACTTGCTTTACAGTCTCAAACTCTTCAAATACTCTAGGAGTGAGGTCAATTAAAGACATTACCATCATTATTACAACTAGAAACATATGAGCGAAAGGTCTGGTTCAACTTGGGTCCAACTCCAACAACATAATCGGCCATTTCACACAGTTTTACTTTGGTCTTGTGCTTTTCTTTAACCTTTGAAATTGAGCTTTCAAGCATTCCAAGTTCCTCAGGGTCTGTGTACCACTTGAACCCATTTGCACGTTTTACGGTCGATAATGTCGATTTGCAAATCTTTCGGCAGAAAGCAAAGGCAGGCAGAGGCGTCGCCTGCACGATCTTTGCTTTGTGTTCAAGGGCTATCTTTCTATCCTCTTGACTACATTTTGGTAAAAAGAAAGTGATTTTCACTTCAGGGAACTTGGCTAACTGAATGGCTAATTCTCTGTTTATGGTGGAAAGCCCCATTACTTGATCCCCATTCAGATGCCAAAATAGTGACTTTCACTTTGGGAGATCCATGCACTCGGTCATTAAGGACTTTTTAAAGTCTTCGATTGATATTGTTAGTCTCATGTCGTCTGTAAGTGAGTTCCAGAGCTTTTCAGTTTCTTCCTTGATGGACTCGAGTCCATAAGTGGTTGTCCACAATAAGCATTTTGTGATTCTTCCACTGTACAAAGATGTTGTCTTAGCCTTCTTTAGCAACTCGTCATAACTAGAATTTACATCATTAAATATAAATCTCAAAATGCGTTTTTTCAAAAGCTCTAGTTTATCTTTGTGTGAAGAAACGGACGGTAAGTACTCCAAAAATCATTTGAGTTTGCTGTTTCCGATTTATTGAGAAAATACGCCTTGACTGCCTTTCGTCTCAGCGAAGTACATTTATTCCTTTTTTCTTGGTAAAAGGCGTAATGAGCATCAGTGCGATCATGAGTGAACTTTTTCCACAGCTTGTTTCTATGCCGAATGGCTTTGCGCATTGTTCATTCATGAACGGTACTTGATTGCCTCTCACATAGAATTGCTTTATAGGTGCGTGCTCATTTGTAATTTCTAAATACAGCGATTCAAATGCAAATAATTCATCGTTTACATCACGGAAAAATTCCATGACGCTGAAAGGAGCATTATCTAAATCTTGTAGGATAGCATCGCTGTCAAACCTTGAATCTTCTCTCACAAATTTTTCAAGATCGAAATCTGGGTGCGAAGAGTTTTAAAATTCTGTATACGAGGGAGTGATCACTGATTCAGAGATCAACCACGCCCGATGATAGTATTCTTTTCTTGTTGTTTGTAAGAATGAGATCGACATTGTTGTTGTTTGTTCTGTCGTTCTAGTTGGTGATGTGATTAGGTTCTTTAGGTTATAAATGTCCAATAATTTACACCAATCCCGTCTTTTCACTGGAGGCTTGTTTGGATCGATCATATCACAGTTGTAATACTGTCATTTGAACTCGTTGTTGCAGCTCCAAAAATAGCACTAGGTTCAATTTTCCACTGGCTTTTTGGAATATTAGGAGATCTGTAGATGCCGACGATAGCAAACCAAGATTTATTTATTTTGACTTTCAATAACATGGATTCGGTGCGAAAACTTGACATGTCTATATTGAAACGTGTAACGACATGAAAACAGATGTCAGTCCTTATGAAGATCATCAGCCCACCACCATGAGCATTTCTATCGACACGATACATACGAAGTCCTTCTACATTAAACTGACTGTCGCTAAAGGTAGCATCTATTTTTTGTCTCCGTTATGAGGAGTATTATTATTATTATGTCAAATCTTCCAGACATTAGCCAACTTCTAATTTCATAGAATTTAAAGCCAACAATACTTTTTGCGTTAATGTGCCCTATCTTGGTATTATGTCGATGCTGCTTGCCACTGCATCAAAAGAAGACTAAATGTCCAACTGCGTATCGCGTTCTTTGTTTATATCAACCGAGCTGCCACTTGTGTCAAAATTGCTCACATCTGCGAACGGTAGCTGTTTTAGTTGATCCAAGCAGTCAAGACATGTCCGGGTGCAGGTGTTGGTAACAGATTGCAGGCGCCCTCGCAGACGGACAGCTGATAAAGCCCCCAGGTGTCCCCTTATAGAGTCTGTGTACATCCAACCCTTCCCTTCAAACAAACTTGGGGAGACACGCTTAAGTTTTTATCCTGGGAGATTACGTCACGGTATCAACATGAAAGCTAATCAGAGGATTTCAATGATAATCCGAGGAAACCAGAAGCTGATTAACGTCGGACTCAGATAGTCTGCTACACAGCCGTTTTTAGTGTCGTCACGCAACGCTCCTCCCCACTAACGGCTGCTGAAAACCGAACTACATTCCTTTCCCGTGATTAGCCAATTATAATTTAGCTCCCATTTTCTGGAAAGTGTTCGCGCCACGTTTGCGGTACTGTGACTCCTCCAATCACAGCTTTGCTTTTATCGGTGCCCCATGTGTGAATGACAGAATAATCAAAACGTCGCGTGAAAACAAGCAATCAACTAGAGTAGTGTTGTTGTAGTCGAGTCCTATTTAAAATTTAGGAGATAAGCACCAGCAGCAAGCAAGTCGAGCAAATTGCGATGCACAACATGGATGTGCTCATAAAGTTGCCAGGTATAGTTCGGGAAATCGCTCATCGATAATTTAAAAGATTGCTTTTTGAATCAGTATCCTTGACAGTTTAGTATTCACAGGAACACAATGAGCACATCCGGAACAATTCTTCATCACATATCAGTACATATGCACGTTGAATGAAGAACCAACCGATCCTGGTAAAAGTCTTCTAGGCCTATCAAACCTTTCTTTCACTTGGAACTTTCTTGACCGCTTAAAACAAACTTTTTTGCAAATTAACCTTTTCGTTGCTTGAAACACAGAGCCCGTCTAAATTCAGCGACGATTAATTGATTTGTCGAAAACTGAGAAGCGTGCTCGCTTCCTAGCGCCCCGCGGCTCACGTATTGTCAAACTTCTTGTGCATGATTGGCTTGTTCGTTAGACCACAAACACAAAGGGAAAGGAATGTAGTTCGGTTTTCAGCAGCCGTTAGTGGGGAGGAGCATTGCGTGACGACACTAAAAACGGCTGTGTAGCAGACTAGGACTCAGACGTCTCTGTCGCCGATTTTGCTTTAGACTACGAACAGTCTCTCTTTTTTTCTTAGTCCATTCAGCGAAACTCGCGAGACACTATAAAAAGACCACGCGCGAGACTGAAGGCGAGAGACGGGCTTGACGCTCGCGTGCGTGAACTCCTCTCACGAAATCTGAAGAATAAGAGAGACTGCACGTAGTCTAATTTTGTTTTCGAGGAGAGGGCGCTTGTGCAAAAGAGCTTCAAGCTATCTTTTGGAATGGAGACAGTTATTTAGCTGTAGCTGGGCACATGCGCTCTCCCGAACCCTAACTTCTTAAATAACTTTAACTTTTTCTTGCCCTCCTTGGTAATAAAACAGATCTAGTCAAAAGCAACTGAAAAAGGAAAAGTATTTGCTGGGAATAAATTGACAAGTGCGGAGCAAACCCTCACAATACGATTAATCATCAGGATCTGTGTACCAGGGGATCCATGTCGGTTTGAAGCAAGAACATCTGTTGGAATTGTTCCCTCTAAAATGGTGTACCTGTGCCACAGCAACCCCATAGTCCTCTACACTTGGATTTGAACACCTGCTATCCCTCTGGTTTTTTCTCAACTGGATGCAAATGTGACTTCCTTTTGTAAAGGCTGGAATGACCAGTTTGGCTTGCTTTAAGCCAACACTCTCCGTGGAAACCGGTCGTTTTGATACGAACTCAAGCATTGATACTGCACAAAAATTTCGGTCACCTCAAGTCTGACAAGTATAGCATGCGCGTAAACAAGAAAAACATTTTGGGCGAATATCCCTAGTTCTTTACGCCATGTTCGTGAAACTATTGACAACTCAACTGAATAAACTTGTATCGAAACGACTTTATATTAACTCTGTCTGCGATGATTAAATCCTTATCCGCCATGTCTCCTGGTCATCGTCTCGAATTACGCCCGAAATCCAGAGATTTCTCCTCTCTGCAGTGGTTTCTTGGAATTCCTCTCCTTGGTTCTTGACAAATGGTGGAATACGAAAAAATCCTTGGGTGTTTTTCTTCTCACTTTTCCTCCAACAATCAACAACGATGCAAAAAACCATATCTACATCTCTTTAAGCTGGTTTTGATTGCGTTTAAGGGACACCAACATGGCAGATAGCAAATGCTGTCAAGCGGCGGGTCACATGGGTGAAAACCAAGAATAGAGGATTTACCGTAACATTACAGTGCGTCAGTATCCAGGTTAGCACAGGTTTCCCCTGTTTCTAAGCTACGTGTAGCCAGTTTAGAAGATGTGACCCGTGAAATAAAGTTGTTCAGTTCAGCTCAGTTCAGTGGGCAGTATGGTTTTTTCCCTGTTACAAATTAAACGGTAAACACTGTTAAGTGGGCCTCTCACCCCACCCTTTGCTCATCTCTGGACTTGTTGTCATTTTCGGAAGACCCTGTTGGTTGGTTTTAAAAATACTGTCATTGTGAAAGAAAAAAGATGAAAGCCCCTTTCTGCTGAAGAGAAAGTTAATAGAGTCGTTTTAAAGAATCCTGTAAACTACAAAAGATTCACTAAATGTTCTGGAATAGCAAGTGCTTTTGGATTGCATATCATTGCACTGTTAATTTGGACTGCCTAATGTGAATTACTTCAACATGTTACAGGTCAAATTCGATCCCAGGTTAATTTTGATTTAGCCTAGGTTGATTCTCAATTTCCTTTGTCGTCTAGCCCTAATAGACAAAGGGAATCAAGAATCAACCTAGGTTAACAATATTTAACATGACAACAAATTTGACCTGCAACACACAACTTTTAAAATTTACAGTTTATGGCCCTATGAACTACCAAGTTACATCAACACTACTAAAATACCAAATTACCAAAATACAAAAACACTAGGTTTTACTAATGAGTGTTGAGACAAGAAAACCATGAACATCTAAAGATGATTGTACCTAAGTGGCCGATCACAATAATGTTTGGAACACACAGGCAAAAGTCAAAATAACATGTACAAAATAGTATTCGTCATATTCATTGTTTTAAGCATGAGTTTCAAAGCAACAACTCTTACCATGGACCATTTTCCACATTCTCTCCACAAGGGCTTTGCATTGTTTCTTCCAACTGTACATTTTTCTATAAGATGTTTTTAGTGCTTTAACCTCTTTGAGTCGCATTTGATGCCTAACACGAACACCTTCAATTGCTTTTGCCCATTCTACAGGGTCATCTGAATTCACGTTGCATGTATTACCATGAGGAACATTTTCTAATGCTTTGGCAAATCCTGACCTACTGCCTACAAGAATGGGTAGGCCTGCAGACAAGGCCTCAAGTGCGACAAGACCAAACCCCTCTGATTTTGATGGCATGATGGTAAGGTCAGCTTCACACAGCAAATCTTTCAGTCTGTCTCTACTTTGTATAAATTTTCTAACAGTCAACTGTGCTTCTGCGATGCCACATTGAAGAAGTTTTTCTCTTACTTCTTCTTGCTTTCCTTCAAGTGCTCCGACAAAGATTAGATGGTAAGGTTTGTTTTTTAGCCGTTGATCAGTAAATGCTTGAGCAGCAATGTTGTATCCTTTGAGTTCAAAATCCTCATCATCCCCACGACCAAATAACAACACTTTGAATTCACCATCCTCGTTAGGATCTTGTTTTGCAACTAATTCCCCAAACTCCCTTTGAAAAAGACCTGGAGTAATAGATAAAACGTCTTGATCTGTCTTGCATCGCTGTAAATATGAAGTGTATGCTTCTTTCAGTTTGGGTCCCACGGGCACAACAAGGTCAGCAAGTTTGCAAAGTTCAACTTCTGATTCGTGTTTTGTTTCACCTTTTGAAATGGGGTCAGTGTAGCATTTGTACTTGCTTAAGTCCTCTGGAGCAGTATGCACCACTTGTATCCACTTACAATTTGGAAATTGAGCAGAGTCTCTAATGAATTGAACTTGCCGACCAAGTTTTACACCATGGCCAACAACGATGTCCATGACATGATCCTTGGGTGGTGAGCTTAACCAAACAAGAGGATCAAATGCTGCACGTCTCTTCGCCTCAACGACAGTGATTCCATAGGTAAGGGCTTCATTTTTTTCTTCATGATTGCAAGCTCCCTCGGGGACTAACAAAGAAACCTTCACTGCTGAATGATTTGAAAGGTGAATAGCAAGCTCTCTGTTTATGGTTGACAACCCACCAGCAGATGAACTCCACTCACCACCAAGAAGAGTAACATGTAACGCTGGAACACTGGTCTCAGGAGAGCAAGCCTACAAAAACATGGCAATAACAGTGAATCGCCAGAAGATCTTTGGCCCAAAAGACATAGCAGGTTTGGTAACTGATGACTGTTTTAGTACATTGTAAACTGTTGCCTCTGCTGTTCTAATAATAATAATAATAATAATAATAATAATAATAATAATATAGTAACAGCACGAATCCTCCAACAGGTTCTCAACTACTAAGGTTGCAGCATGTGACCTGTACCGGAAACAGGCTACCAGTTGAACACTGACAGTATATACATGATAATATTAGTAATGATAATAATAATAATAATAATATTAAAATAATGATGATGATGATGATGATGATGATGATAATGATAATGAGGTTTTTCAGGGATAGCTAAAACTAATATCATGAGTGATGAATTACTCCTTAATTTTGGCACAAAATTTCATCGTTAATTTATAATTTTACATATGAAATTACATAATTGACATGGCAACCTTGCGTACGTGTCAGTGCTAACACGGCAGCAAATTAAAGTGAATGAAAATATCAGGGCATTAGAAGAAGCTTTGGAAAACCTAAAGACACAAAAGAGCACATCAAGAAGGATTCTATCAGGTATGTTGTTGAAAAATTCTGAAAATTCTGAACTTAAGACAAAAAATTTAAGCTCTAACAAGTTCATTGCATGGAGTTCTACATTGATAGTCAATTCAATGAACACTGTCTAAAACCTATAATTGTGGACATAATTTGCCACCCGATATTAATAGATAACAAAGGCGAGGGGAATTATTAGGATTTCGACAAAATGCAAAGGAAATTATTCCCTAATTTTTCGAGTATAGCATTTCCCTGCTAGCAGGTCTCTCACGATGACATGTGGTGAGGGACCTTTGCTAGCAAGAGAAGTATATAGAAGTATTTAATAAATAGAATACAACATGGTTAAAAATCCCAACTGGTAGGAGGCAAACCAGTTGGCTATTTTCAAGCATGGTGGGGGATTTGGACTTGTAACTACCAAGAACAAGTCCAGCTAGCAGGACTTGAACTCCAAATTACAAGTCCAGCGCTTGGCCATGCTGCCTCTTTTTTTTACACCATGCCCACACAATTTGCTTCACTCTTTAATAAAAAAAAATTATCATTATGATAATTGTATTTCTAACTCTTCACATTGATCTCTTGTCATCCAAAACTAATAAGACAATGATTAAGTTTGTTACATGATACTTACAGGGTCTTGTGCAAAAAGAGAGTTTACATGTATATGGAAGCATTTACTTGGGAATGACAAAATGGCTTCTTACATGTATTTAAACTTATTGCATGTAAGTCATTAATAAGAGATGTCTATATTAATCAGTGTTAATGGACTAGCTTTAAAAGATAAACCTTATTTTAATGGTGCAGCAGTCACAGAAAAAAAAGAAAATGAAAGAAAACAAATTAATAGCAATTTAAACAAAAATTTGTTTTATAAAACCAACTAAGGTGATACAATAAATAAATAAATAAATAAATAAATAAATAAGCCCTTTATTAATTCCAAAAACAAACATAATTCCAGACTACAATTCACAAATATTAGATATTGAAAAAAAAAAATTAAAAAGACACCTGTTAATAAAATACTGTTTGAAATGTTCAGTCTTAATTTGATGAAGTACAAAGGAGTGACCCAGATTCCTTAGCAAACTTGTTTTGCTGGGTGGGAGGAGTTCTGTCAAAGGGACCTCGGTAGAATTTGTGATGCTCTTCACAACTTATTATCTGAGGCCTGTAGAAGGGTTAAAACAGGCACGGCCTTTATGAGAAAGCCAAAACAAACTGCTTTCTCCTGAAACTTATCAATTTTAGAAAGAAATGCTTGACTTATAACTTGCAGTACCCCACATTGAAATGCCATAGGTAGGAAGAGGTATAATCAGACCATGTAAGATATCTAGACTATAGCCATACTTGTTACACAGTTGTAATATGTGTATATGCCTTCCCGCTTTGCTGAGAAGAACAATAATTTGCTTGTTCCAGAAAGTTTGCTACTGGGTTCCCTTAACCAACACACTTACTGTAAAATTAAGTGGATCTGTCAGAGAAAACAGCTTGTATATCTTTGAATATTTCAAAGACAGAATAAGCCCTAGTATAGTACCATGAGGTACACCCTATTGATACGCAAAAATGGGGACTCTTTGTTACCTACTAAAAAAATTAATAATCCAAACTACAATGTAGGGATTGATGGGCAATAAGATAAACTTGATAAATAAAATGAAGTGATAATGTCGAGGTAGAATGGCCAAATGTTGTAATTTGCCACCCATCGCCCCTTACCCCACCTAATGAATCCCAAACATGCTTCAGAAACTTGCCCTTTCATTCAAATAGGAATTAATTACACATCAATATTATTTCTGTCAAATTCTAGTATTATTCTCAAACCAGTCATGCAATTTGATAAATTAACAGCTTACAACATTTTGAGTTTACAGTTTTGTTTAAGAGTTTCAGAAATGAAGGATTCCTTTTAAATCCAAAGGTAAAATGTTACAGTTATGAAAGTGACAATTATGCCAATTCAATGGTCTTCAATGGACTGCAAATATTTGTCACTTTAATTTTCTTTATAAAACACTTAAACTTCAATTAGGTGTATACATATGTGACCATACAAATAGATTAAAGTTGACTACAAACAAACAATGCATTTGATCATAAATTTCTTGTATCTTGTGCACTGAAGGCACCCCTCAGTCGACATGTCAGCTCACATTCAGTCAATATCTTGACCAAATCTTGGTCAATATTGCTAAACATTAGTCAACATGTCAACCATGTCAGTCAACATGTCAGCTGACATATCAGCAGTATAGAGTGTTTTCACATGATGTTAAGGCTGCCATATTGGTGTCCCAAAACAATGAAACGGTAGCCATGTTGGTGTCCCAAACCAATCCTGTGGGAGTTGAACTCTTTTCTTATGCAAACGCTTTCTTTTGTTCCAACAAATTTGCATAGATGCCGGCCCCCTGAGTGAAAATGCCCTATAGTATTATTTGAATAAAATACAGCATTTGTAAAAATAATAAAGAAAAAGACTGAACCTCTGAATTGTCCATACTCCGTGTTGTTTTCATGGTCTCAGGATGATCAGATGAGGCAGCCATAACTGATGAATAGAAGGAGAATATAAGTCCATAATATAGTAACATATTAATCACACCACCCACAAGTCAGATTATAATGATGTGACTCTCTCATGTCAGTGTTGTAGTTAAGCAAAGGTATTTATCCAGTGAATAGTGGTATGAATCCCCTAGTATTAAACAAAAGGGTCGGACTAACAGGCCTGGCGTTAGGTGAGGATTTGCAGAGCACTTTACAAGGTAGATTAGAACTGTAGACGCTGACTAGGAAAACACTGTCAAGTTGCCTATGCACTTCTTTTAAGATTGACTCTCACCTACTTGTTTGGCTTTTTGTTTTTTAGGGGTATTAAAACAACAAAGAACACAGGCAACCAGTTTCCTTGCAGAATGTTCCATATTGTTCACTGCAATTGGGTTGTATTGAAATGATCCAACTGATTCAAATAAATCGCTCCTGTCTTATATTTAAGTGCCTGTCCTATCGACCTGTCCAGCATTCCTGTAAACAAAGGCACCAGCTCGAGGCTCAGGTGGACAAAATACAGTGATTTGTATGAAATTCTTCACCAAAGCCTTGTCCTAATTTCTTTATCTCTGCTCACTGGAACGTAATGCCAGAAAGGTCTATGGATGTTTAGTCTGTATCATATACGAGATAAGTGTACGTTTACATGCAGCTGCAAAAATAGCAAAATTTGCAAAAAATTGGAAAATTCAATTAAGTTGAATCAGTGAAAACCAGTAAATGAGGAGGTTAGGAGGACTCTAACTGCATCTGTGATATTTGTGACAACTGGAAAATTTCAAAAATAGGGGAAACATGGAACAGACAATTTCAAAGTTGCTTCAAGCCTCTGTTTTAAAGTAAGACTAACTGTGATTTTTTACTTTCACACAAATAAAACACACTTTCACAACAACGTTTTGCACTTAGCCTCTTTTTGAAAGTGAGGATATTTTGAAACTTAGAAATGGCCCTTTGACTGAGCCATCAAATGTAGTCAGAGGCAGAGCAAAATAACATGTGGGGAGCTGAAAATAAAATTGGAAATTCAACCCCCCCCCTCCCCATCTTCCTCCCAATAAGCAATAAAAGGCGACCTATGTCTTTTTAAGAGGCCGAAAATATTTTAGAGGGTATGTATGGGGTTAACTGACAACAGACAAATGGCAAAACTTTTAACTGACAACTGAGATTCGTACCCCCCTCCCCTCCCCCTCATCCAGACCCCTCAAATACAATCATCAATGGTGCCGACAACAACAACTGCATAGGATAGACTTCCATAAGGGGGTGGAGGGGGGAGTGAAGATAAAAAAATGAAATGTCCATATCCAACTGACTAAGTATGTTGTTTCTTGTTTTAAACAGACAAGTGGACATTAACTTGAACTTCCCAAAATGCCCCTATAATTCCTTTGTTCATTTGGTTTGCAAAGGTCTTGGTAATCACAAAAGGGTTGATGTGTCAGCCAATGTCTTGTGACAGTGAACAAGAATGCAGCTGTTTAAAGATATCTTTTGAGACGTCTCAGAGGGCAAAAAAATAGCTTCGATGTAGAGGCTTATATATATTTTTTTAAATTAAGTTGGTCACACATACAGCAAACTTAAATGCAGGAAACCCCACTGATTCATTGGAAACCCAGTCAATTAAAGTTTTGCATAAAAATAGTGTTTTTAAGTTCCATTATAATGAGTTGACCGTTATAAAATAAAAGAAATAGATTTATTATCCCACAAAAGTGTAATACCCCCAAACCCCCACGCCCCCCCCCCCCCCCCCCCCCCCCCCCCCCCCCCCCCCCCCCTCCCCCCCGTTTTTCTTACTTTCATGTTAAAAGTAAAACTCAAAAATATC